TTATTTGGGTGAGAGGGGAGAGATTTATAACTACTTATGTATTACTGTGGTCTCCCCTACTAACCTATATACTTCGGATCTGCTTGTGTAAAAGAAAGCACACTAGGTTGTAGGATTTGGCCAATGTTAATGCAGATATCACTACCAACACTAGTTACGCAATTCCCAACCTTCCCCGAGCTCGTACGGCCAATGTAGTTCCGAATCTTGAGGGCAGGAAGGCACTTGCGTAATACTGTACAAATTGAGGTCTGATTCATAGTTAAGCCTATACCTGCCTGGATTACTAACTTCTATGTCTTTTATCTGCTAAATTCCCTACCAGAATCGACTGCATGTCCTTTTGCTCCTTGGTCCATCATCCCAGCTGCATTATCATCAGATCCACCGGATCCGTGGCGTAATCATTGTGGTCGCCACATTGTGGGTACTCTATTCTGGATCCAGATCACTTTGATCCACCTCACTACAAGTGTACGCTCCTCATGGATCTGAGCTCTCCAATCTTCCAACATTGTCTTGCGACCGTCTGTGATCTCCATCGTTTCACGAACGTGTGAGATCCGTTGCATCCACCATCCCCATATCCTGGATCCAGGACACTCGATGTGGGATCCTCGCCCCCTTGGATCTGGACTTGGAAGAGTAGGATCGGAGACATATCGTGGTGGATCTTGCCTTCTCGTTTGTCGTTGATACCATATGCTACCTTAGGATCCCCACTTGTTCCACCTGCACATGGTATATCCCATATCCCCTAGGTGTAATTAGGTGAGGACAGTCTCCACTTGGTGGATCCTGCCGCTCCATACGTTATCCATGCGGGATCCATCGTCGACCCATATAGGATGCCGCTTTACCTTGGTCAATTCACTTGGAGCAGCGCGGATCCATGCCGGGCAATCCAGATCCTCCCTAACCGCCAGGTGTTGTCGCTAAGCTGGGATAGTGACCCCTTGTCAGATCCAGTCTCTTATTTCTGAGAAAGCACTTCACCACATAGGCAGGGTAAGACTGTCTCCACTGTTCCCCGCGCCACCACAGCTGCTTCAGCTGTCCGGGGACCCCGAGTTTCGCCGTCAAATTCGTGCATACAATCAATCTTTTGCGTTTACATCGAATTGTTCATCGGCTATTTTCAGTTTCTCCTGGTCCAGTGATTGGATTGGAAGGGCCAAACGTCACCTTCTTCAACCGATTTAGGGCAACGACATCTGGGACGGGTCCGTCTATTTTAGAAGCTTTTGGTTTGTCGCGCAATTTGTCTCGGATGGTAGAAGCCTCGGTCTGGAAATAGGAACGAGCCCATGTCACCGCTCGATTTAGGAACGAAGAAGTCGTCGTTCCACCTACTTTCACTAGGTGATCTCGAAGAGACCCCTCGTCCAAAACGTTCTCATTGGTCTTGTCTCACAGCGGGGGAACATCAGCCCTCGTTCCGCTTCCTTCCTCCGGATCAGTCTCTCCCCTCCAACTTTTGTCGTATTCGCCCCTTTCCCGTTTGAGCATGTCGTACACTCTCTTCCGAATTTCGGAACGCCACCTAAAAGGTAACGGCACTCCTTCTTCGTCTCCGTCTATCACAGTAGGGGACTTGTCGAATCCGACGCAGACGTTCCGTATAAACTCACTCTCAGCGGAGTCGTCCTCCGAAGCACTGTCATCGTTTTCTTCTTGGTTGATAGCGCCGACGGGCGACGCAGTCTCCGTCGTTCCCGTTTCGTCCTTAAAGTTTCGATTAGCACGCCTGGCCGCTGCTGAGCTCTCCAGTGTCCTCTCGTACCAACCTAGCCAGTACTATGGCTTCCTCATCTCTCCCGTAGAGACTTCCCTTGTGCGCTCTAGCACTTCTTCCGGTATTCCCAGTTGCTCACTCAGTTCTGCAAGTGACGGCTTCTCCTGCTTGCTAGCGTTCTGTGTTACTCGTGACTGAATCTTCTCGTCATCCAACGGAAACAGTCGCTCTTCCAGCTCCTTGTCGTACTCCTCGGGTTCACTCTTCACTATTGGATCGTCACCGCACTCGAGCATGTCCAGCTCCTCGTCGGTAAACAGACGATCATAGTCGTTTGATGAGTCCGTCGCCTTGGTACGTTCCGTATTCAGCTCAGCTTCGGGAACTTTAACGCCCTCCTCAGGAGCATCTTGTAACGGGCCTGGGGTGTCCGTTACTTGCTTACACGTAGTGATGAGGAAGCGTACAAGTTCAGTGATACTGAAACCAAGTACTTAGTCTGAAGGAAAATCAACTCTGTTTTTATTTAGGTCCAGGGCAGCTTGCCCTGACCACTCAAATACACGTCAACTCCTTATTGGTTGATTATGGGTCTGGCTCCCCATATTTCAACCAATAAGGTGACGGCAGTTCAGCACACGCTACTCGTGTGCTGCTGCACCTACTTTTGTAATGCAAATCTACCTACTTATGTAATGGTGTGAACCACTACAAAGAACCTATAAAACTACCTACATATGCAACTTGGGAGAGCCCATTACATCACCCCCCTCTTAAGACAGCAATCGCCTGACGGGGGTGCGCTTCGGAGAACAATCGGGAAAAACTGGGAAATGGCGGAGAAGAGAACGCTTGAGAACTTGACGGGCGGGAGCTCCTGCGAAGCCCAGGAGCAGCACAATACAACTTGCGCGGACGAGAACAACATGGCGCAGCAGACGGGGGCGGCGAACCAGGCAGGAAGCGGAACAACGCGGACGGCTCCAGCGTCGGCGACGACGCTGAACAATGGGTGGACCGCTGATATCGCACCTGAGAGCGTGAGTCGACTTGGGGTTCGGCCCGGCGTAATGAACGAGGATATGAAGCCGTGGGCGCTGTACGACTTGTCCGGGGCGGTGACCCCGGACGCGTTGGACACCATGCAGGACCACTTTCGGCGCTTCAGGCGTCTCCGGAACAAAACACTCGACGGCGCGACGTACGAAGCTTTGCAGAGATCATGGTGCGGTGGATCGCATGCATGAGGCAGGAGAAAGTGTCGTCGGCTGGCTCGGTGATCGCGAAGCCTTACAAGCCGAGCATTCACTCGGTGATCTGCGCCTGAAAGTCTGCGACGACGCTTGGACCGAAGCCCATTTGTGCCATGTCAACGTACGCGAAGGTTGCAGTTCGTGTGACATCGGGCGACGCCCGACGCAAGCTGAGTGGGATCAGCATATTGTCGAGTATCCGCTCATGCCGACCGAACACGCTTGGATCGAGAAGTATAAGCGCTCACTCTCCGAGTCACC